CAAAGTAGGGTTACCTAATCAGCAGGCAGTAAGAGAAAGCTCCTTGAGACACCCTTGGCATTCTGAGTCCCATAAAGGACCATAAGGTTTCAAAGATTGTATTTGAATAAAGGGTTTCATGACTAAATAAAGGTCTAAAAACCACCAATCTAGCCCAATCTCCTTTTTAAAAAAAATATATTTATTGATTGATTTCAGAGAGGAATAGAGGAGAGATAGAAACATCAATGATGAGAGAGAATCATTGATCGGCTGCCTCCTGCACACCCCCCACTGGGGATTGAGCCGCAACCCAGGCATGTGCCCTTGGCTAGAATTAACCCTGGAACCCTTCAGTCCACAGGCTGACGCTCTATCCACTAAGCCAAGCCGGCTAGGGCCCAATCTCCTCTTTTAGCAAGAATAAAACAGGGCCCAGGAGAGATAAATTACTTGAGGCAATAATACCTTAAGTTAGTTATAGGCTGGGCTACTTGCTTTGAACTTGAGCTGGAAACCACTCACTGATCTGCATTTCACATCATTTTGGCAAATGAACAAGCACTGAGAGTGGACACATCCAGAATTCGCGGCACTGGTCAGGTGGATGGGCTGGCCCTGACTGGATGTTGAAGTGCTTTTCTACCTTAGCTTCCAAGCCAGCTCTCTCTGTGCCAAGATGATGCCTCCAATTCCTTTCAGGAGTTGGCCAGCTACCCCTTCCAGGAGGAACTCACTGGCTCCAAGAGTAGGTCTGCTTCTGGACCTCCCAGCCATTACCCAGGCTTTATCCTATTAACATGCTCAAGTTGAGAGAAAGAATTGAGCTTTGCCACTCATCACAGCCTGTTTAATACCCAGCCTGTGCCGGCTAGACCCATTTCTCATCTCCCTAACCACCACCGGGCTAATCACTCCTCATGACCAGGGGTTCAACAGAATCAGATTATCCGTAAATTAAAGGACCTGTATAGAAAACCAATATTACTTTTGTTAGCCTCCACTTGAGCCTCTCAGGAATGAAATGCTGCTTCGTTTTGATGATAGGACTTTTGTATATAAAAACAGAAGCAGTTTTACTTTTAGTAAGATGAGTCTGCAGTTTAGTTTTTTAAACTGAGGGAAAACACACTGGAATCTATAAAAATGGGTTTAAAGCTTATACCACTTAGTAGCTGCAAGACCACTGGTATATCTCAAATATTCTGAATCTCAACTTCCTTGATCATAAACAGGGAATACTAATATAACTTACCTCACAAAAGTGAGACTCAAAATGTTCTTTTAAATAAGTCACTTACCAAATATACCAGTGGTTCCCAAACTTATTTGGCCTACCGCCCCCTTTCCAGAAAAAATATTACTCAGCGCCCCCTGGAAATTAATTTTTTTTAAATTTTAATAGCAATTAAACAGAAAGATATATGTATTAATGTTTCTACCTTTTTCGTAAAATATAGTAAAGAAAGGTGTAAATTAGAAACATTGAAGTTTGAAATTATGAAACTATTTATTGAACTCAGAATAGAAAGGTAATACAAAAAAAAGTTAAAATAAATGCACCTGTGGCCATCGCCGCCCCCCTGGATCGCTGCAGCGCCCACCAGGGGGCGGTAGCGCCCACTTTGGGAATCACTGAAATATACTATATCAATTTTCACATATAATTGAGACCATACAGTTTTAAAGTACCTACCCCCAGAGCACAATCATGGAGAAAGAAATGGATCAAGGTGCTCAGTGTCTCATGGGCTAAGTTCAGTACGAATAGCACTGGCAGACCTGAGTTGGCATCTGCACTTCCCCACTCACAAACTGGAATTCTAGGAAAGTTACTCACCCTCTCTAGCCTCAGTCTTCTCACTTATAAAGTATGGTTAACACCATCTAACTCAAAGGGCTACTGCTCGTAATAAATGAGATAATGAAAGTAAAGGGCTTTAAACAGGAGCTGGTTTATGGTAAGGACTCAACAAGCAGTAACCTTTTTTATTGGTAGCTCTTTTCTTAAGCCCTCTTGTCTATCCACCTCTCTAAAACAGGAGAAGCAGTTAGCAAAGCCCAGATTACCTCAACTATTAGAGAAAGTAATAATGAAAAAAAGAAGAGGAAAGGATTGTAAATGAACTGATGACTGCTGTTCCAGACTATTTATCATACTAAGGGCACCTGATACTGAAAAAACATGGGTACTACATTCTAAAGAACGAACCACAGCATGTGCAATCTTTCCAAAGGAGTGACAGAGTACCAACGGAATTTTTGCTAGGCTATCCATTACTCTTTAATAGTCCCTAACAAGCAGAAAGTGCTAAAGGAAGGCAACTCTGATGCCACATGCAAATCATTGCTTTTCTGTAAACATATCTCTATCATAAAGATTCCCCGTAGCTCACTCGAGTGCTTGTCTCTTGTGCCCCACTACCTGGTAAATTTGTTACACACTTCCATTGTAGCAATTATCTTGTATTGTAAGGAGCTATTTGCATGTCTCTTCACTACACTGTAAATTGATAAAGATCCTGGCTTACTCATCTGTGACTTCCCAGTGCATAACACAGTGGTTCTCAATCTTGGCTGCACATTAGAATCACCTGGGAATCTTTTTAAAATCCTGATTTCCGGGCCTCATCCTCCGGAAATTGTTTCTTTGTTATGGGGTGAGGCCACAACATTAGTAATAAAGAAACAATTTCTGGAGGATGAGGCCCAGAAATCAGGATTTTAAAGATTCCCAGGTGATTCTAATGTGCAGCCAAGGTTGAGAACCACTGGCTTAACAGATCCCCATAATTACTAATTGAAGGATGGGTTTCACCTTCTTTCACTAGTTAAGGCTGTTAAGAACTAACGGGGGAGACATTAGTAGAAATTCACACACAAACTAAGGTTCCCCCAGACGAGACCCCTGTTTTGGAGGGACTTTGTTTGGAGCTTGAAGGGAAGACTGACTGTTCCTGCTCCTCAGAGTTACTTTCTTAAAAACACAAAGAAAAGGACAGAATCAGTACCTACAGAATTTCCAGACAACAAATTATATTCTTTCTTAGTAACAGGTAACAGAAGTTTGTGAGATGAATGCCTGTGGTTACACATAAAATTGACCTCTGGACATGACACTCTGGAAGTATATTATGCCACTAGAAGCTCTTAAGTTCTAAAAACAAATAGGGAAGAAAAGTTAAGAAGCAAAGATAAAAAAAATGTCTCGCATCAAAACCCTGATATGTGTAACTGAAATCAGGCTCCCTCAAAGGAGAGCCCACGACTAACAAACCGTATGTAATAACTTCAATACAGTATTTACCTTTTTCAAAGCACTTTCAAATACATCTGTGAACTGCAGCCAACTGTAATCACAGAAACTTAAGGCTGGAACAGGCCTTGGAGGTCATTCCACAACCACCTCACCAACCAAGTGGTATCCAAGCACCTTTGGTCTCTAGCGATTGGGAAGTATGGTACTAAAACCTGCTTTAAAAACCAACTCCTGTTCTGACCACCTGTCCGTTTTTCCAGCCTCCACCCCCCAACCTTAGTGATCCCCAATCAGAGAAGCCAAAACCTTCAAGTCACCTCGCCCCCAAGCAACAGTCTGCTTCTCAAGTCCACTTCTACTCCCTTCCTCTGGGCCTCATCCTCAATCCTCCCCACCAGCCCCACCACCCAAAACGTGGCCAGGGCCTCGGAGATCCTGATCCCCCAGACATCCCACTGGTTCCATTCCCGACCATCAGTTCCCTCCCTCCGATTCCTCAGTGCTGTTCACATGCTGTCAGGGGCAAGACAACATGCACTCCTAGCTACGAATGCATCTCGGGCCTCAGAACCTCCTCCCTTTCCTTTCTCACCTTCTCTCTCTGCTTCTTAGCACTGTCCCTTCATTCCCTTCAAACTCAGTATCTCCTTCCTCCTCGTGATTCCCTCAAGGGCCGCTGGTCATTGAAGACAACAGGTGTTAAGTGTCTATTAGCTACGTAAAAGAGACCCTCACAGCGCTCGCCCTCAATAGAACTCACAAGTCTCTAGGGCAGCGGTTCTCAACCTGTGGGTCGCGACCCCTTTGGGGGTCGCCTAAGACCATCCTGCATATCAGATATTTACATTACGATCCATAACAGTAGCAACATTATAGTTAGGAAGTAGCAAGGAGAATAATTTTATGGTTGGGTCACAACATGAGGAACTGTATTTAAAGGGCCAGAAGGTTGAGAACCACTGCTCTAGGAGGTGGAGATAGAGATCATTTATCCCTTAAGGCTCAGCCCAAACTGAATCGGTCCCCTCTTCTCAGTGCCACAATCACGGTGTATCTGACGCAGTGACTCGTCTCCTTGGGTGTCTCCCACCACGAGGCTGTGGGCTCCGCCGTGGGAGGATCCCTTGTGGCCCTGTCACTTAGCCCAGGACTAGGCACAAAGGTGATGCTTAATGTTTGTTAAATGAGTGAATGGATAACTTCTGGTAGGCAATTATTCATTCATCCATTCGTTCATTAGTTGACCCAAACTTTCCTGAGCCTACATTATGTACAAACTCCTGGACTGTAAGGATAAATTAAATAGCTCTTACGTTAAATAACTCAAAGCTATACTATTAGGAGATTAGCACCCTTCCCCGGACCGTATCCCCAACCCCCACCTGAAACCTGGTCAGTCTTTTCCACAGGTGAAGCCAACCTTCCCCTGCAGAAATCCACGCCCCTCCGACTCAAGCTACCGCCTCCACCCTTCAGTTCTAACCTAGGGCCGGCCCCCAGCTAATCATCTCGAATATTACACCCCTATCCATCTGGCTTCTCTCCCTGTCCTCCATCTCTACCCATGAGGTCTAATCCCCCCAAGACCGCCTTAGCGTCCCCGATTCAGGGTACCTCTGATTTCCCTCTCCGCGCATCCGCCTCCCAGTGAGTTCCTTCCCTCTCCGGGTCCCGTCTATCCTAGGAAATGAATTATTCCCGATACCACCACTCTCCTCCTTTCAGTTTTAGGCTGAGTCTCTCCTGGACTCTCAACTCTTACCTCATCCAGCTCCCGTTCCCCGGCAGCACCTCGTCCAACCTCTAGCTCTACCACTGCCGCCATCTTCACAGGTCTCCCCCTCCCAAGTCCGCCCGCGAGCCAGCTGCTTCCGCCGCTCAAGGGCTCCTAGCCAATCAGAGGCGTAGGCTCCTGCAGAGGGGGCGGGGCATCGAGACGGGCCGCGACCTGACAGGGACTAAGAGACCATCTACCTGATACTCACTTAAAGGTCAAGGAGGAACGGTTCCCTCGCATTTCCAAGCCTCGGCGGGGGAGCGTTCTTGGAAAATGAGTACCTGAGCTTGTATTATTTTCAGGGCAAATATTTCAACAATTCCCCCCTTTGGAGAAGGAAAAAGAAGGGTCCATAAACCGTCAACTTTCGCGACGCTCCCTCACTCTAGGCTCCAAAGAGTGCGGCGTGGAGGCTAAGAACTACATTTCCCAGAATGCATTGAACCTGACCCGGAAGTTTCAATTCGGCTCTGGACCAGAGATTTGTAGTGAATGAAAATATATTGTAACACATCTTATTGTTCACGGCACATGACTTCTTGCCTCCGAGGGAGTCATTTTTCAGAAAGAACGGCTTTTTGAGGCTCCAGAACGAATTCCCGGACTTCGGGAGGCGGAAGAGTAGCTCTTTGGGTCAGAAGGCGGAGGTCAAAGGGCCGAATTGGCGGGAGAATGTGTTTGTGGTCCACGATCTCAGGCTGCGGTGGCTCTTTAAGGTTCATTGCCCCGGTGAAGGGTGTTGGGGGTTGATGATGGAAGGGTAGTGGCCGAAAGGGAGGAGGGGTCGTCAGGACAGCGCGTTCCGAGGAGCCGTGGAAGTAGCCGAGCGGCTTAGGCTGTAGAAATTGAAGAGCCTTGCAGTACCTGCACGGCCCCCAAACTGCTTCTTCGGGTCTCAAGTCTTCGGATCCACGTCACACTTCTAGGTACTCTTTCCTACGCCACATCCTGCGTCTCCAGCACTTACCTTTCCCCCCATCTTATACATCATATTCACTGTGCTGCACCCCAACTTATAGCTTAGTATTGTAATGCATTTCCAAAAACCTGTTATTTGTCCACCCGGACCCGACACCTCACAAGCCTGCAGCTCCTGCTCACGCCCCCTGGGCATCCCGGCTGCACCTATCCCATGAATAGAGCTAGGATGACCTGTGGGCTCACAAGACTAGAATGCCAGTATTTGGGGGCTGTCAGGAAGTTACAGGATAATATTTTGACCATCTACTACAGCCATCTTATTTACTTAAAATGGGAATTTTTTTTCTGAAAATGGGAATTATTTTTACTATGTGAAACTTAATACAGAGAATATTATATCTATACCTTTACCCCACATTGACTATTGACATTATGATCTATTTGCTTCCTCCTGTTTGAAAAAGATAAAACAAGCCCAGCCAGTGTAGTTCAGTGAGTTAGCATTGACCTATGAATCAGGAGGTCACTGTTGGATTCTGTTCAGGGCATATGCCCGTTGATGGGCTTGATCCCCAGTTGGGCGTGCAGGAGGCAGCCTATCTATGATTTTCTTTCATCATTGATGTTTTTATCTCTCTCTCCCTCTCCCTTCCTCTCTGAAATGAATAAAAATATATTTTAGCCCTGGCCGGTTTGGCTCAGTGGATAGAGCCTCGACCTGGGTCGAGGGGTCCCAGGTTCCATTCCTATTAAGGGCACATGCCAGGGTTGTGGGCTTGATCCCCAGTGTGGGGCGTGCAGGAGGCAGCTGATCAATGATTCTCTCATTATTGATGTTTCTATCTCTCTTTCCCTCTCCCTTCCTCCCTGAAATCAATAAAAATATACTTTTTAAAAAGATAAAATAAGCCCTGACGGCTTTGGCTCAGTGGATAGAGCATGGGCCTATGAACTGAAGGGTCCCAGGTTCGATTCCGGTCAAGGGCATGTACCTTGGTTGCGGGCACATCCCCAGTAGGGGGTGTGCAGGAGGCAGCTGATCGATGTTTCTCTCTCATCGATGTTTCTAACTCTCTATCCCTCTCCCTTCTTCTCTGTAAAAAATCATAAAATATATTTTTTAAAAAATAAAAGATAAAATAATACAGATAAAAGTTGAACTTATCTGTCTTCTACTCTCAGACCCATTACTCTTTCACCCTCCCCAAAAGCAACTAGTATAATTAGCTGTGTATTCTCTCAGTCCATTTTTTTAAAAAGTGTATGTACAGACTATAAGTATTGTATTGTTTAACTTTTTTAATGAACGTAAGTGCTATTTTCTGTGTATCATTTGTAATTCTTTCACTCTAATTTTTTGAGGTCTGTCCATGTTTCTGTATATTTACATCTAAGTATTCCTTTTAACTGTCAAATAGTATTCAATTGCATGATATATAACATTTCACTTATTCACTAGAGTTTTATGATTTTTGCTATTAGAAACATTGTATGTGTCTTTTTGTGCACATGTGAGTCCCTCTAGAGCTGCACTGTTCAAATAAGTTAAATACTGGAAATGTAGCTTATCAGAATTAAGATGTGCTGGAGGTGTTTATGAGGGCCTATTTCCCCACAATATTGCCAATCCTTTATATTGTAAACATTTAATTTTTTTTTTTCAGTCTTAGAGGACAGATATTTGCAATTTCTTTATTACTAGGGAAACCAAGATTTGTTAATATGGGTTTTTGGTCATTCAGATTTCATCTTAAGTGAATTGTATGTTTATATCTTTTCTCCAGTTTTCTATTGAACTGCTTGCCCTTTTCTTACTGATTTGTAGTGCTTAAAAATATATATTCTAATACTATCCAAGTTTATGTATTGCAAATATCTTCTTTTAGTCAGTCATTTGTATTTCAGCCTTGTTTGTGTTACCTTAAAGTATTTTTAATGTTTCTATCTTTGATCCATTTGAGTATAATTTTTCAAATATGTTACAAGATAGCGATCTTTTATTTTTCTTCACATGGTGAACCAGTTTTCTAGAGACCATTTATTAGTTCATCTTTTATCAGACAGAATCATGATTCTGCTCTCTTACAATCAACTGAACAGGTTGCAAATTCCCACTTATGTATATGAGTCTGTTTCTGGTATCTACATGCTTGTTTCTATAGATAATACGTATTAATTAAGAAGTGGGGTTCAACTCCTTTAATCTTTCTTTCTAGAATTGTCTTATCAACTTGTGGCCCTTTATTGATTAATGAGTTTGTCATGTTTGCCAGAAACTTCTGCTGAAATTCTGATTTGAATTATATTGACTTATTAATTATTCTTTTCAGTGGTTATTTGTGTTTCAGCACCTCTCTGAGGTGTGGGAGATGATGAACATGCCAAAAATCCATATCCTCAAAGAGCTCACTAATTAATGGGGAGACAGAGTAAACAAGCCATTGACCAAAACAAAACAAGAGCAACAGCACAAATGCTGGGGCAAGGAGGCTAGAAAGTACTTAATGCTTGGATAACTACAGGCAATTAGATAGACAGTGATCTTCATGAAAAAGACTGTATTTGCCTTATTCACCTCTGTGTATGCAGCACCTAGTACATAACCTGGTATCTACCAGAAAGCCCCTAAAATATTAACTAAATGAAATATCCAACATTGACAGCTTCAGGGTCTCTAAGCCTACAGTGTAGTTAGTTTTGGGGCTGGCTAGGTCAGACATCAGTATGTTGGTAATGAGAAATGATTGCATTTTCACATCAAATCATAAATGTATACTTGGAATTTTCTCCAAAACAGAAATCATATCTTACTTATTTTTATATTTCCAATATCTAGCATAGAATAGGAAAATTTGTTGAATGTACAGTGAGTCCCTATTATGGGAATAATCAGCTCTAATTAATCTGGAGGCCTAGAAAGCTAACTCAGGACTCATCCTGCATTCTTCTCTTGGCACCATATTGAATGTGACCTGTGAGGAATGCTTGACCTTTAGATGCCCTTCGCTAAGAGTTGGTTACTACCCCACTCTGAGCATTACATGACTACTGGCCCTTTGGAGCTCCATTTTTATGGTCATTAATTTAACAGATATTTGCTAATCTGGAACTGTAAGTTTCTTCCTCTTACATTGAGGATATAGAAGTGGATCAGACGTGAACCCTGTCCTCCAAGAGCTTACAATTGGTCAAGGGACATAAGACATATATTCAGATAATTGTAATGCAGAATTGAGAGGATGGAGTTGTCACCTAGAGCTGGTTGGGCAGCATGGAGGTGACATTTGAGCATCAGAGATACATTCCATTTGACAAGTGGGAAAGGGAAAGAGCATTTCAAGCAGAGGTTATAGCATGAGCAAAATCTTGGAGGTGAGAAAAATATTTGGTGGAAAGGAGGCAAGAAGACCACTGTGGCCAGGAGTATAGCGGGTCGTGGACCTATATTCAGGGGCCAGCTGGGCAACAAACATGAGTTAAAAGGGCAGGGGATAAATATTTGGAGAGCGATCCACCTATAGACACTCAGACAACTTTAAAACACCTCTGGCCAAGGAATTGTTGCACCTAGGTGATGGATGCATGAGAGAACATTATACTAATATGTATGTTTTTGCATACATTAAACATTTTCCATAAAAATTTTAGCAAAAGACAAGAGTACAAATATCCATATGAACTTTTAAGATTAAATAAAGAAAATCCTCAGATGAAAGGAATAGGAGATGAAGCAGGAAATGTAGAGATCTACATTGTAGATGTTGAGGGGCCAAGCTGAACTAATATTTATTAAGTACCTACCATGTAGCAAGGGATTCACATACATTAGCAAGCCATTGAAGATTTCTAAGTGACTTAATGCAAAGCTAAATTAGGAAGATGCATTTTATGGGAAGAAAACAACAACTAAAAGACAATTGCATCATATATTTAGTTGAACATTTGTTGTACATCTTTACTATGTGCCAGACTCTAGGGATATAAAGATGAATGATTTAAGGCACAATCCATGCCATTGGGAGCTCACCTACATAAAAATCCAACGTTAACATATCAATATATCTTTTGTACTTGCTCTGTTGCCCTGTGGTTGCAGTCCAATTGTTTCCGTTTGTTGGCATCTCATCAGTTGGTGCAGATCTGGTCCC